TGTTTAAAACCTTTTGTTTTTGTTGAGATTAACCTTTTATTTTTATTAGTGTCCACATTTCAACTCATAAGTGAGCTAAGGTACAAAATAAATATTAACTATATATTCCAAGTGATCTTGGAAAAAAAATCATATAGAACTTACTAAAAAATTTTAGTGGCAATGAAATACAAATATGATGTTTTGATGTGAGAATTTTCTAAAATTATCACATTTGTTTAAAATGTAGGCTTTATTTGCAAAAAATAATAATATTTCTTTGTATTTGTGCCAAATAATGTGCAAAGTATATAGTTCAAATATTTTCAGTAAGGCACCACTTAAAAATTGAAATTGCTTTGAAAGTGCTTATCACACTTTTAAAAGGGTAAGACCTATTAGAATCTTGCTAGTATTTTCATGTGTATTGAGTGAGTATCAAACACATAAAATACATGTATGTCTTTTCAAAAAGAGTCAAGTTTTGTCAACCTTTAGATTCTTCATTAGTAATTAACACATTGAGTACTACTACAACACCAACACCTTCATTTTTTATGCCTTTGGGCAATAAATTCGATACATCTCCACTAGAAGAATCAGATTTAAAATGTTCGTGAATCCTTATTCCTCTAAACATGTGTTAGAAGTACTAAAACAAATGATAATACTTTACTATTTGTATGTAGTTTTCTTTTATATTTGAAGTGTTCTACATATTAATACCAGAATTAGATAATTCTTCGACTAGTATAATCAACTGTAGTTGACTTCATGTTGGTGGAATAATTAGTTGACTCCATGTTAGTGGCATGATTGGTTATTGTGCAATTCATAACTAAATTGTTACATGCGATTGATTAATTTGAGATGTTGTTTTCCATACTAATAGATGCAGCAATACTAATTGCTTTTTCTTCTTGCAACATTAGTTTGCACTTGAAAAACTAGAAGCTATAATTTTCATTTTGTTAATAATATCCTATCTGTTGATTTTTTTTGATATTGCTTGATATAAAGTCATCGAAAACAATTAGCTAATACTTGATTCTAGTGCGGCACCACTTAAATAAAGTAATTGAAATGGCACATAAAATGAATGACATTTGTCTAAATTATCTTAAATGATTAATTAATATCTATCATTTTCATTGCTATTATGAACATTCTATTTTCTCCCGAATTGTCACTACCATAATGTTCTCATTTGTTTAGATTTTGGAAAATCTAAGTATGGAAAATGATTATAGAAAATATTCAAAATTATCGAAAGTTATTCTTTGGTATATGAAGTTTGGGATGAGTTATACTTTGCACCCTCAATTTTCTGAATAGGCATTTTACTTCCTATTTTATATCTAATATTCTTTTGTTCCTTCTTTTTTTGCTCTTTTTTGTTATTTTCTTTTATTTTTTTTTGTTCCTACCATCCATTCTTTATCCAAAGTCCTATGTTTCAATATGCATTATATTAGATTTATAGATTTGGTCAGTTTTTTCTTTACTTTTATTTCAAGCCTTAGTATAACCTTTTCTTCCATGTATTTTTATTATTGAACCTCTCATGTGCACAAAAAAATATGTAATTTGATAATTTGACAATCCAATTTATGTTAAAGTGCATAGGGTGAACATCATACATATATTTATATATGTTATCATTCAAAGAGTTACATCATGCATATTTTGCTATGTCTTGGATTTTATACTTTGGCGTTATTAATTTTATAAGAGGAAATGAAATAAAAGAAAGAAATAAGAACCCAAATCTAATAATTTTTAATATTATTTTTAAGTGAGTGGTGAAAAAAATAAATAGAATAGAAAGGAAACAAATAGCAAATAAGAAAGAAAATTAAAAAGTAAAAAATAGAAGAAGGTAAGAAGAGATTTAGAAAAATAAACCATAAAAGTCTAAATTTTGAGGATATTGTAGTCAGGAAACATTAAATTAGAGGTAAAGTGCCTATTTAAATTATTAACGAGTAATGTGCAGCTCATCCAAAAACTCTAATGAGTTTAGTGCTACTAAAAAAATTAATAACACCTTACATTAACAAATATAAGAGTTCCAATATTAAATTTTTTCAAACAATAACAAGTTTTTTTAGTTCTTATAAAATAGTTATAACGATATATGCACATCAAAAATAATATCAATACAAGTATGATACAAGCTAATAATACTTGTAATTTTTTTTGGGTAATTCATGCACATTTGTTATAGCCAACAATCAGTGTTTTGTTTGCTTTATTAATAATTTTCATCAAATGGCTTCAATAGCCAAGTGAAAAAAATTCTTAATGCAAATTAGTGAGGGGTATAAGTAAAACTTTGACAAATATTTCTTGAAAGATAAATTTTTCTGACAGGCCAGCAGAGACACATGCCTCCACTAGTTATGATGTACTTTGTATTTAAATAAGAAAAATTAAAATATAAAAGATCAAATGTAAACTAATTCAATAATATAATTTCAAATGTCCTACTAGTTTTCATAATAGAAAATAGTTAACAAAAAAATACACATGTGACTAAAACGAAAATAGATTAGACAAGAAATCGATCACAACCTTATATTTCTACCACTTCTCTATTGTATAAATCCTACACCTTTTTATTGTAGAAAACTCTAGAAATTTTCACTCACATTGTTTATTACTATTGTTTATAAAGATAAGAAAATCATGAAAAACAAGGAAGTCTCAACATTGCAATATTGGAATCAAGACCTCTATAACTCAATAAAAAAAAAACTAGTTGATAATTCTATTGATGAGAAAAATTTTACAACAAACTATATCCTTCATATAAAAACATGTGAATATGATTTTGAGTATCTTTCAAAAAAAGAAAAAAGAAATTTTAATCATGTTACTATACTTTTCAATTATAGAATTTGTGTCTCTATTCAATGAACCTAACTAATTTCCTGGCTGCAATTTTGGGACAAATAACAATTCCCGGCTATTGGGATACTATTTTATCTCTCGCGCGGCTTAGGTTAGGAGAGTCTTTTTTCTCTTTGTTTTTGTTTTTTTTCCTTGGCTCTGGAAGAAGGCTAGACGGCCGCAGCTTTGTAGGGAGAAACGGCAGAGAACAAAGCCACAATTCTTGACTTTTGGATGTTTTTTTTCCCATCTCATGTTGACTCTAGAATTCTTTAGCTTATGATTACTTTGGACCAAAATCAATGAATTGGAGGACTTTTCTCTCGTATGCTTTGGTAGAAATTGAGAGAAGAAAAGAATAGCCGCCGTTATTGACTTTTCTAAGCTTTGGTTTCCACTTTTGCTGACGACAACCACAGAGCAATCTGCCTTTCATACGCTTGGGCTTTCAGAGACAAGTGCAAGAAATCAAAACTTCTTGTTCTGGACTTCCGCTCTTGACCAAACGAAAAAGGTCCGATACAGCGACGTATCCTGATTCTCCCCGCGTAGCTTGTCCTTCATTAATGAGGGCTAATCCGCTAATTCTAGCCGAGGGAGCAACTGACGAATTGGTTCACCGAGTACTGTGAGATCTAAGCCGTTTTTAATTGTTTCCTCCATTTATTGGTATTCATATGTTTCCTGCTTTTAACTGTTATAGCTCTTGTGTATGATTGATTAGTGCGCAATAATTAATTATTCATATAGGCTATTTTGCTAAATAGGGGTAACTGAATCCGTAATTGTTCGTTGCCTCTATCCCAGTAGCAACTGGCATAATTGGGTTTATGTCAGGGGAATATATGATCTAGCTTAAATAAACCCTCGTAGCGTGTTTATTGGTTAGGATTGGGCCTTTCTAATTATTAATGCAACCTGGAAATTAAATCCTACGGTCGTACCTAGGGTTGTTTTTGAGTTAGAGAAATAGCTAACGGTCGTACCTTAGCTATCGATAAATTAAGGAAGGGTTGGTTGTTTAGCGCGTGCGAGACAACTATAACCAATCTATTAATAAATGTTGGAATTATTTTTGCATCAATGATCAGTGCTTGAACCATTTCTGAAGTATACCCTTGGCTAGAGTTTCTCTTAATTATTTCTTTTAATTAATTATTTTCTGCATTTAATTTGTTCGGTTGGCTTTTGATACCAAAACCCCCCATTAATCTTGATTTGAAAAGAAACAAATATTTCTCCAGTCCCTGAGGAGACGACCCTGCTTACCACTGTCTACTAGTTAGGGAGTTCAGTTAAATAATTAATTCAGGTATATCGGATTAAGCAAACTCTTCGGGAACAGGGTGAATCAAGTAACCCATTGCACACCTAGAGTCCCTGCTCCAGTACTCGAATTGATTATTAGCTGTTTCAGGTGGTAGTTAGGATTTATTTATTATTATTGCACAGGTTCGGCACCTGTCACAACTCATTGAAAAACTCTTGGTTGACCTTTCTGATCTCCCATACCCTTTTCATGGGAGTTATTGCATAGAAAATCATAAAATAGTTCATCATACAATTGTCATGTTGCTGTATATGATGATCACCATGTGGGTGTTTTTTGGAAAAATGTCTATGCTAATGGAAATTGTCGCCCTGATCCTTGCCAATATTCTATAAATTCTCCCATTGGTACCCCATTTCTTAAAGTTACATTATGATAAATGCAGGCTCTCAATCGAGCTGGTGGTAAATCCGAAAATAAAGGTGCTAAAGCAACGCTTACAGCTAAAAGCCAATTTCCTTTTGTTGACTTGCTTTCTTCTTGTCTCTTCATTTTCTTGTCATTTTACTCCATAGGTATTTATTTGCAATCTGGCGAATTGTTTGCTTTGTGGATAGTATCTGGTTTGTGTTCCGTTTAAATCAAATGTCATCAATAAAGAACCTTTACTGTTTTTCTTTTTGGTTTGGATCCATTTGAAAGGGGTGATTTGACGAATTTCTCTGTCTCTACTAGGTTTGGCCCTGTAAGAAGCCTTCTCTCAATGTAATTTAGTAGAATACAGACAATAGTAATGCTTGGAAAGGGGCTTCTTACTTAAGCAGTGAGGTATCAATCATTCAAAATGAATTACTTTTGAGTTAAAAATGGGAGTAATTTAAAGAAATCTACACAAACTTGCATACAATAGGACAATAATAATTTGAAGAAACAAAGACTGGTTATGTCACACTTGAAAGTCAATCTGGAAATTGTTAAGGATACAAACGGTTTCAACAAATGATTCTAAACAAAGCATATGGATGTGGCTCTTCAACCATATTTGCAATTATTTGAATTTTAAATGCACCTAAGTGAAAAGTTGCCGTAGGGATTGATCCTCCAATGCCTCCTGCTGTAGCTTCAATTTTGGGCCATCAACGAGTATTATCTAGAAAACAAAGGACAAAAGCAAAAAAAAAAAAAAAGATAGCAAAAGACATAAATGGAATTCCAAACTCAAGAGGCTATAGTTAGATATTGTTAGAAATTTAAAGTTACATTTACTAGTTAATGACTTACATCTTCTCAATAAAAAACCCACTCTAAACTATTAATGAATATTTCATATTTTCATTATACCTATGGCTACGTTAACACTTGATTCATTATTAAGCACATGTCATATTCTACAAAGTAGGCCTTAGTTTGTTGTAATTCTAGAAGTAGTAATTATTTGACTTGAAAGATGAATAGATACATCAAAAATAAAATGTGTGAATAACCATACCTGAGCGGATTAATATTCATCAGATATGTCAACTCGAGGAATGTGTGATATCTTTATCCAGTCATCTCCTGTTTTACTAGAGTAACGATCACTCAACTTGAAGCAATTCCGAATATCCAATGTTTTGAGAGATGATATCCTTCCGAGGATGCGATGTGGCAAAATTTCAACCTTTTCACAATCATGAATTTTTAGCTCCTCCAGATGTGGCATGATAGAGATAGCAAGTTCTTCATCATCTTCACTTAAGTCTTCCCAATTTGTCCAATTTTGGATGTAAGAAAATCGTAATTTTCTCAAATTCGGAAATGCTACTGCTTCAGTTAAGGATGATGGCTCAGAGTTTGACAATGCATCAAAAGTTTCATGACTATTCTCATGCACTGCTTTTGTAATTCCAAAGAATGCCTTACTCAAACATTCTAGCTTTCCCACTCCAATGAGCCCAAGTTCTTCTAGGGACGACAACTTCCACAAGGCAGGCAAGGATGAGATATTGTAGGCCTCATTGATAATTAGCTTCGTCAAGTTATTGACAAGAGACGTCGTCACAAGCCAACTTGGTAACTCGTTTCCTGGACAGCGAGTTAGCGCAAGTTGTTGCAAGTTTGGAGGTGGTTCCTCGCTTTCAATGCAACTTGGAGTTTCTATAAAGTGGACCCTATTGCTAAACAACAAAGACATTTCACGCATGTTTTTTTTCTTTCCAAGTTCAGCACTCCCAAAATCTACTTCTCCATGAATATGAATGATCAATCTTTCCAGTTGGTTCAAGTCCTTCAAAATTGCCAAATCATCAGAGTTGCCCCTGGCGATGAACTGAGTCAAAGTACAAAGTGAAGTAAGCTTCCTGAGTCCTTGTGGAATTTGAAGTGATTCAGAGGTCCCAAAATTGAAAAGGTGCCTCAAGTGTACAAGGCCTTCAATCCTTTGAGAAAGGCATGAAAGCTTTCTAACATAGTGATGTCAAAAGTTTCCAAATAATATAGATCACATATAGCTTCTGGCAGTGTCACGAAAGGATTCCAACTTAAGTCCAAGTGCCGAAGATGAATCAAACTTCCGATATTGGCTGGGATTTCAACTATCTCACAATCACATAAAGCCAGGGTCCTCACGCACTTCAAACTGCAGAACAAATCTTGGGGCACTACTCTTCCACGTGGAAGAGCAAAAAAAGCTCCTGAGCCTTCCAAAATCAACAACTAGAGAACTAAACGTCCTCTCAGTGCCAAGCCACGTTAGATGACGTGCTCTTTCACTAGATGAATTTCTTCCAATGCCTTGTTCATAATCAATTCCATCAAGTACATGACATAATTCATTTTTTCTGAGAAATTGTGCAAAATCATGTACTATGTCATGCATCTTGCACAATGTAAAATCATGAACTAGAAAGAACTCAACTTTTCGTAATTCTTGAAAAAAGGAACGCATTGCCAAATTGTCGAAGTACTCACGGCCCACCAGTTCCAAGCGCTCACCTCTTCGCCTTGGGCGAACATAACCTTCTGCTATCCACATCCCAATAAGCTCTTCTACAAATATCGAATGATCTTTGGGAAAGACAGCACAATAGGAGAAGCAATGTTTCAGCTCCGGGGACAACTCGTTATAGCTTAAATACAAAAGAGGGAAAAGTTCCATAGTTTGCTTCCTCCAATTGCCATATCTCACTATCCAAAATATTCTGCCACTGCTGTACGGTATCTTTGAACCGTAACAGGCTTCCCATAGTCTTTGCAGCAAGTGGCAAGCCCTTGCACTTTTTCGCAATTTTTTCCCCAATGCTTTCCACTTTCTTACACCCCCAAATGCTATCCTTTGATCTTCCATCAAATGCTATCCTTTGCATTATTAGCCAACAATCGGAGTCAGAGATCAGGCTCAAGCTATGAGTATGAGTCGATCCCATCACTCTGGCCACTCTTTGACTCCTGGTTGTCACCAAGATTACACTTCCGGAAGCCCCATCCTTAAGAGAGTCTTTGAAAGGTTTCAACTTTGAATCTTCCTCTGTCCAAACATCATCTAGGACAAGCAGGAATCTCTTGCCGGAAAAAGTTTCTTTTATACGTTGGATCAAAGGATCCAACTCTGATTCTTGAGAGCTTTTTCCAGCATTCTCAAGGATAGCTTTCGCAATCCTTTTCTGGTCAAAAGGATCTGATACACAGATCCAATTTCTAAGTTCAAAGTGATTCTTCACTTTATCATTATTGAAAAGTAGCTGGGCAAGTGTGGTCTTTCCACTACCCCCGACCCCTACTATAGAGATAACTTGAACCCCCTTTCTTCCTTGACTACTACTCTTAGACAAAACTTGGTCAAGTAAAGCATTCTTATCAGCTTCTCGACCATATATCTCTGATTCGTCGATGATTGAGGTACTCATAATTCGCTTAAAATCTTGAGAATCAGGGATCCCCCCACTTGAAATAAACTTGAATTGATCTGCCTCTTTCAAAGTTAATTCTAGCTGTTCATTTATTTTCTTTATTTTCTGGGCTATATCACTACGCACAGGAACTTGTTTGAGACAAGAACAAAGGGATGGGATGAGGGAACGAACCTTGATCCACAATGTTGGCTGAATTCTGGCATTCTGATGAGTTCCCTCATTCTTTGCTCTGTGAATCTTGAAGTTCCATTCGTCCAGCACATCATCCATCTCATATGTTATGTCTTCCAGCTTTTCGAGCCAAATTCCCACAGGTTCCTCCTTCAGCCTTCGTCTCTCTGCATCATGCAGCACTTTTTCAATGGTTGCCAACTTAGAGGAGATATTTGCCACCTCCTCTTCAACGCCCATCACCAGGTTGACCTTCTCCCCAAACTGCTTCACGGCAACAGCACCCAATACATCTATTATCTTTGGAACAATCAATTCAGCCATTGCTTATGGTTGTTAGCTGAGAATTTGTGTATTTCGAAGTGGAAAACTGTTTGTTTGTTTAGAATTAGAAACAACAAAGATGTCCAGGCATTTATGGGTTGGATGGCATAAAAAATTCCTTACTTTGATGCGCACTCAATTAAAGAATAAAACATTCCTTATTCTAGTGTTTGGAATCAGAAAACATTGACGTTAACCTTGCACACAAGAATAAAGAGAAAAGCAAAGTTGTGTATCCCTCTTTTTTGTTGTTGAATTAATTGAAAAGCGTAAAACATGTGAAAAAGTGTAAAACAAATTGTCCAAATTTTTATATTTACAAACGAACTGCAAGTTTTTGAATACAAAGTTTAATTGAGACAGCAAGTGTCAATTTTCCCAAAATGAAACGTAATTAAATATGAAAAGTGACTAAAATGCATCGTGCGCCCATGATTTCTTATCGTATCTTTTTCTTTTTTTTTTCTTTTGGATAATGTTATTTGTCATAAAGTATCTACGCTATACTTTATAGGTGATTTATATAAAAAGGTCATATAACAATAGTATGATATCTGTTAAAGGGTTGTTTTTGTTTTTATTTGTTAAGAATTTCTTTTTAAACATTTTAACAAGTGCCCATTGGATACTCTAACCTCTCATTTCATGTGTGAGAATGCTCATAATGGAAAGATCTTTGCATCTGAAATGGTAGGGAAAAAAAATTATCATTCTAGAGTGTCTAGTACACAGGTTAGAGTGGAATATTCATTCATTTTCTAGTATTTATTATAACCATTATTTAAATGTCAAATTAGAATATAATTAATAGAAATTTGACTTAGTTACCCATGATTAATTTATAGGACATGATATGTTTTATTACTTTTGTTTTATTTGTTCTACTATATTATATGTTGATTTACATAGAATTTTAACATTTTTAGTATAATTGAAAATTGATATTAAAAATTTTCAATTGTAATTCTTGAAATTTTTATGCTAAAACTAACAATTGCTTAGGATTTCAATGTAGCAAAAGCAGCTTGAGGTTTATATATATATATATACACACACACACACACACACACACACATATACATATATATTTTCTTTCTTAACGATTCCATTTCACTACTAAACTTTTTCTTTTTTCTTTTTTTTTTCAAATTGAAAAAAAAATTTAGAAGCTAACTTTGGATTACTTACTATGCTTTGCAGCAAAGCAATTCTTTGTCGAGTTTGATACTGTGAATGAAATGCATAACTGACTTGATGAATATTTCAATCGTGCATTCAAGGTTTCCCTCTTATATGAATTTGCTTCAACCATAATCTCATAATCACTTGCATGACTTTCGAACAAAAATTCCGAGCTGTAGAAATGAGATGGAAAGCTTCCACCATTAAAGTATTCATTTCCTATTGAACAATGAAGGGATCTTCTTCTAGCCTTCTTTTTACGATGCTTTTCCCCTTTTCCATATCCACGTTAATTTCATTTTTACATGCCAGGCTAATAATCACATTTCACCTAAATATATGCTCATGAGCCAAATTTTATTGTGTACTAAATTCATCATACAAGTTTAACGATCAATATCATGTCATAATTAACATTTATTTCAGTTAATTCAGACTATATATTTATCATTTAAAAAAGAAGCCTTACTCGCAATTTAATTTGTGAGACAGTGGATGAAGTACAATTAAGTTTAGGTATTTATACATTAAATGGCATAAAAGATTCGTTACTTTGATGCACACTCAATTAAACAATACGGCATTCTCTCGATCTATTTTAACGACTGATGTTCATATTCCAGTTATTGGGAATCAAGCAACATTGGCGTAAACCTTACACAGAAGAATAAAGGCAAAAGTAAGGTCGCGTATTTCTTTGCAAACCTTTCCTGAGGTTTTGAAAATTGCACTAACTTCTCTTAAACTCTCAAGATTTTTATAGCAAAATTAGTCCACGTCAAAAATAAGTACCATTAGAAGAGTATTTTGAGTAGTGAGATAATAATTTTGGTTCATACATATCCTTTTGTAATTGTCCTCAAGTTGTATTAGTAAAGAATGAAACAATAATAAAAGTCAGAGGGTATAAGTAAAATTCAAAAAGATGTAGCAACAACAACCTAAATTAACAATCATCTTTACAGCAACTAGTGCAAACTGCAATGACCATATTTTTTGCCCTTTACACAGCTACATATAAAGGATACGGTTAGCTCTATAAAGCTATCAAATTATAAGTATAACCATATAAATTTGGAGGAAAAAAGTAATTTTTTATTTTGGATGGTAAGGTAAAAGTAAAGTATTAGTATGGAAAATATACAAGATTTAGTCAACAAATCAGCAACAAAGGCATGAATTAGTTTTGTCTCGACAAAAAATTCAACAAAACAAGGTAGTCAAGAATTCCTTCTATTTCTCTTGCTCATAAAGTCCGTCTATATAGATTATATTAGGTTGTTTATCCTTATCATTATCAAGTGATATCAATCATAAAAAATATTGCCATCAAGAGTGGCCAGTTACATAATTTTAACCATAAGGACTCATGCTGCAGGCCTGAGGCCTAAACTCTTAGGCAAGTCACTAGTGGTATGCCATGAACATTCGTCAATAGGGTTCATGGGAAAGGCCCATTTCATTCTATTCGATAACAAGTACAGCGTCCCTCCAATACTTTCTTCTGTTTAAGAATTCCTTAAAAATAAAAGAAATTAATTATCCCTATTCGTCGCTCATCACATAATGAAAGAAATTCACAATTTGACCTTCAAATAACTGCACCTCGATCTCAAACCAGCCAACCTTTTCGTTTGTGATGAAAAGCAGTTTTCATCCGCCAAGAAAGGGGTAATTTGCGAGTGGTTCAGGTACAAGAGGGAATCGCATTGGAGAATTCGACCATCGGGTTGGTCGCATTCCACCTAATTTTCTTCGGGACAAAAAATAATTGAAAATTAAAGAGGGAAAAGGGTGGGCCCTTTCATTTGCGAAATGCGACCTGCAGGTGTTAAGGCGGGAAAAAAAAGGGTTGGCTCTTAGCTTCTCCTGATAAGATTAACAAAACAAAACAATTAAAATTTTGGATCCACAGTAGGCAATGTAATTTAATGTAGCATACAATTAAGGTTTGCAAAAAAGCTTTGGTTGGCAGGTGTCAACTCCACCAGTCAAACAAAATGTCAATGAAAATGTAAAAAGTGAAAGTACAAGTTTCATTAGCCGATACCTTTTAAAATATTAAAGTACATTTTTTTAATAGTTGTTGTAATCCAAATAATTGCATTATTTTAACGATAATAATTTGTTGAGACAAAAATTGATAAATTAATTGAATCCTAATTTATTTATTTGATTTACGGACAGGCACGTGAATGGACTAGAGAATTGTAGTAGATGAACATGTACTGCTCTCAGCAGAGTTTTGTTTCTCATCAGGCGTTTGCCTCGAGTCTAGGAATCGGAATTGTAATCAAATTCATTTCTAAAAATTTAGTATAGGTTTAAGTCCAAGGTATAATTACAATAATAGGTGTTTGGTAAATATTTATGAGGAGTGGGTAATACATTAAAAAATAAATATTCTGTATTAGTACAGCAAAAATATGTATTTTAATTTCCTTTCTTTCTGTATAACTTGTACTAATTTATGTGGGTTCTGTGCTGAGGATGAATACAAGTTTAAATTGGTTCGGTTACACGTGCTTGGGCAAGAGCCACATTGATAATTTGCCGTATTAGTACACTAAAACCTTTTTTTAATGTGGGGTCTGCATAAGGGATTGATGCAAGTATATAATTGTTTCTATAGCTGAAGTAAATGGTATCAATGTAGGCCATGAGAGTCAAATAGCGAGTGTTTTTATGTATCATAAATGACTAACTGCCTTTTGTAAGACTCTTGGAGGGGTTTTCAAAAAAAAAAAAAAAAAGCTTGAGCATATTATGTGATTGTAATTACTGGTATTAATACAACTAGAATGGAAATTTTTTTCCACATCCTGTTCCTCTTCTCTGAAGAAGAACGGGGGAAATAGAGTTGTTCTAGCTGTCAAATTAAATCATCGTTGATGACATTCCCAGTTTTCAAGCTGATGCTAGAGAGATTACCTTTCACTTGGATGAGACTTTGAAGGATCTCTGTTTGTCAGGAAGAGAACTGGAAGCTGTTCGGATGTTATGCCATGCACGGGTTCAAGTAGAATGGGAAACTTATTCTCTTCTTTTGCAAGACTGTATGGGAAAAAATCCATTGGCAAATGATAATCACTGGATGTGTTCCCAATGAATATCTAAATGTTAAATTGTTGACTTTATATGCAAAGGCGGGACATTTTAATGAAAAGCATGTGCAGGCTATGTGTAGGCTATGTGCAGAAGGGTTGGAAGAGGTGGCTTGAGCATGTTCCATAAGATGAGAAAAAATGGTTTGATACCAGACCACTATACTTTTGCATCAGTCTTTGGGGCTTGTGCTTCTTTAGCAATCCTAGAACAGGGCAGGCAAGCCCATGCTCTGTGGATCAAGTTCCAAATTAGTGGAAATCTTGTAGTTAATAGTACCCTCGTGGATATGTACTTCAAGTGAAGTAGTCTCTCTGAAGGGCATCTTGTATGTGAGAAGTTTTTAGATAGAAATTTTGTTACGCTTTAGTATCTGGATATGGACACCATGGAAGAGTGGTAGAGGTTATAGAATCCTTTCACATGATGTTAGATGAAGGCTTTAATATCTGGATATGGACATCATGTTACATTTCTTGTAGTTCTTGCTGCTTGTAGCCATGGAGGGTTTGGTGAACAAAGGCTGGGAGTACTTCACCTGAATGACTAGAGATTATGGAATTCAGCCAAAGGGAAAACATTATGCATCTATGGTTGATCTGTTAGGGCCTGCTGGCAGGTTAACCGATGCTTATGATCTGTTCAGCCAGTTGTATGGGGTGCTTTACTTGGAGCTTGTAAAATTCATGGAAATATGGACTTGGTAAAGTATGTTGTCTTGTCAAATGCTTCTGCTTCTATTTCGTCGTGGGAT